TCCGTTGCCGGACACAAAAAAAAAGACAAAAAAAAAAAAAAAAGAAAAGAAATTCCATATCTCCATATTTCTGGGAGGTATGCTTTTGTACATGAAATATATTACTTTTTTATTATCAAAAAAATATTTCCTCATTATTGAAAGTCTGGATAATGAAGAAAAGCATTTTCATTCCCTTACAGCAACCACTATTACATTTTGACATGTTTCTTTTCAGTATTTTTTTATACCCAGGTTGTCTTTTTTTAAAAAAGTATTTATGAAAGTATACTGTATATATAATTTTGTGTACTGCTTTTACAATTTGTATTTAATAATATACTATAAGCATCTTTCCAAATTGTTATTAACTTTCTGCGAGGACCAATTTAGCAGTTCTGCAGATTCTGGAGATGCTGGAGATGACATATATGGTGACTGTGATGATGAGGCAGAGGTCAATTAGGATGAACCTCTTTATTGGACATTTAGGTGATTTCTAATTTTTTACTATTATAAATAACTGTGTTATAAACAACCTTGTGCATGAGGATCATTTTATATTCGGCAGTTTTTATCATAGGAACATAACACATGTCAGAATTAATATCATCTTCTCCAAAAATCACACTAGTTGAAAGATCTACAATAATCTGTGAAAACAAAAAATCCTTCTCTCCCACTACTTTATCAAAATTATGCTGTTTTTTGAAGAACTGCAAAATCTAGCTTTTTCTACTTTAAAGTAATGGCAAAAACGTACTCAGACACTACGTCAACCCCCATCTTCGTCATGTAATATGTTCTTTTATATTGTCTAAACTCAGTTTCAAATAGGTCATCATCTTCAGTCTCATCTTCTAAAATATCTGGGGAAAAAAAGCCAGAAAGATAGTGACAATTATGAATATCCTGTTTTTCCACCTAATATTTTCATAAACACATGTCAAAGTTGGTGCTTATAAACTAGCATAGAAGTCTATTCTACCCAATACTACTTACTCGGTACTAATAAAGGAAGGGTATAACAACTATTCTGTCAAGTAATAACATATCAAAATATATAACTTGTACTCACCCTTAGAAGTTACCACTTCACCTTCATTTTTGTCTAAAGCAGCCCAACACATAGAATTTTCCTGGCCCTAATATAAAAATTAAAAATCAACATAAAATGGACGACAAGATGTATTTCAAAGTAAGATGTTTAACAGGAAGATTTCAAAAGTAGTAAAAATAACTGAAATGATCCTTAAGGGACCCACTGTAAAAGTTTATTTCAAAAATAATCCTCAAATAATGCATAAGTATTTTTGGTTATCACTTGTTTTCTAAAGCTATACATTTTATCACGTAGAATTTAGCATTTAGACTTTTCAAAGATATATAATAATTCTCACCAGTACAAAAGAAAAATACATTTTAATTATTTACATGTTCCAGAAAAAAATACTTCAAGAATATTTCATTTACTTAGAGAAAAGCATACACAATTAACATCAAATCCTTTTACCAGTGATCAATTTTAACATTTTTATACATTAAATTCTGGGTAACTGTTATGCAATCGATTTGTTTATGCTTGAATTCAATGGTTACAAATATTACCTATTTTCTGTATCTCTGGATTCCATCATTCTTAAGACGGTGTTATTTATGTCTCACTTCATTTCTCTTCTATGTAACCCATTTGCTTTTCTATAGTTTGTCCGTCTTACCACATCCTTCATACCCAGCCCATCTGTTTTTCCTTCCTTGTGATCTTAATCCTTTCTCTCCTCGATTTTCTATCTACTACCAGTAACTCCAATTAATTCTTCCTACTCCCTTATCCCCATTTTCCTTTTCTTCACCCAACCTAGGGCCTCTACCAACTTCCTGAACCTAGGCTGTTCCTGCACAGTGTCTCCAATGTTAACCACATATGCCCGGCAGACAGGTAAAGTTTTAGGAATGAGCTGAGGTAGGGGAGCCAGGGATTATCGACATGTAAGTTTTGTGCACGCAGGTTCCCAACAAGTTGCAGAGCCTATAGTCTTAGGAAAAAATAACATAGGGTGGTATGCAAACTGATTGCTGCTAAGTTCCACCAAGGAAGGGCTAAGTAATTAGAAGTACAGCACTACAGAAAACTAGAATAGAAGCCCCTCATGGAGGGAGAGTTATTAGGTTTGAACCTAAATAGAATCAGTACAGTAAGAAGAGTTCAGGAACCTCATCAGAACCCAACAATTATGAAATAGGCTGAGGAAATTTTCAGAAGAGGTTTATTTTTCAAGCTAACACAAATAATACATTCTTCAGAGCTTATTAGAGATGTTTTACACAGCAGTAGCAGTTTCTAAATGAATTTATTCATTTATTAACCATATAACATTTACTAGATATTGTGCTGTTACTTTTTTGTTTTTTTGGTGGCTGTTTGGTACAGGGATCCAAATCCTTGATCTTGGTGTTATCATCCCCAAACTCTAACCAACTGAACTAACTGGCCAGCCTGTGCTATTACTCTTAACTTAGCCTATAGCTATATTGTATATGATTTTATACATAAATAATTTCTAGAGAAAAATCACTGATTTAATGTCTCATAACATTAAATGCTATAAATATCCACATTTTAAAATCTAGTCCATTGTTTTAAAATAATTTTTGAAGAATCATTTTTCAAAGATAACTAATTTTCTGGGCCCACAAATTTAGAAATGTTTTCCAAACTTATTAATAGAATGGAAAAGCAAAAAAAAACACAATGTTCTTCTTCAAGGGCAAAAATAAGAAATTGATTTTTAAAGATCAGATTTAAATAATGGAATTTAATAGACAAAAAGAAACCAAAACAATTTTTAAATGCCTATGGGAAAGAAGAAATGAAAATGAAATGAGAACCCCAAAATCTTATAAGAAGGAGAATGAGAAATAAGCAATATCTGTTTAAAGGAAATGAAAAGATATCTAAAAAATTGAACACCTTTGATTTTTTCTTTTCCTTGTAGTTCTTGGCTTCTTCTGCTGCGACACCTGCTGCTTCATTGAGGTACTTGTTACCAACTTTGCTTTCAAACCACTTTAGGTCCACAAAAACTTCACTGAAATGCTCTCGATCGAACTGTACAGAAATATTTAAAATTACTTAAAAATAATTTAAGTATGTTTAGATGAACACAAACCAAATAGTGACTACTTCTGGGCAAAGGAAAACGGAGAATGTTACTTTTTAATATACAGGGGGACCTCATCTTTTACTCTGAAAATGAGAAATAAAAGGCAAATGAAAATAAAACTAATTTAGGTAAAATTATACACAATGAACAAGTGGAATAAAATAGTAAAACCCTTTTCTTCTGGTATTATGTAATTGGTTACTGCCATTTATAGCTACCCTGAGACAGAAAAACAAAAATTTCTAGATACTTACATCTGATAGTTTCACAAGGTATTTTTCAAATCGAGGTAAGTTGAGATGCCCACTTTCATTAATATAACCTAAAAGGAACAAAATCTAAATTTGCACTAAATGCTGACATTATTTTTTCTAAACAATTCTATAAAATTCTTTCCACAAAATGTTGAATGTTAACATTTTGCTCATCAAGAAAAAACACACAGGGCTGGCTGGTTAGAATATGGTATTTTAACACCAAGGTCAAGGGTCTGGATCCCCGTACTGGTCAGTCGCAAAAACAAACAAAAAAGCACTCAGTATTGGGCTATATATAAACTGGCCCTAGTTTCCATGAACTTTATGTTACCATAATATACAAAATGTAAACACTGAAGCAAAATATAAGAAATTCTAGGTTCATGTAGTAATAAATCTCCCACATTTCCAACAACATTTGGTAATGAATTAAATATGTTCTAGAACTTATGTAGATTATCCAATTTAACATGTTAATTTAAGAGTGAGATTAATTCAGTGTCACCACTGTTTGCCAATTTTCTATTTTAACTGAGAAATCTTCTCTTCTACCCTGATGTATACCCATTCAGAAAAACAACTGAATTTCTGTTTAAATATGAAAGGAGTTAAGTAAAACCAACAAGTTCTGCTGGCTTTCTTAAGGAATTAAAGGTGAAGGTAAGTTAGGTATCAATAAATGAGGTTGATTACTTAGCTCTGGTCATTTTCTTTCCTTGTGAATCATTGAAAATGACAACCTCAGAGCTTGGAACCTCAGACCAAAAGAAACCTCCAGTGTTTTCCTACTTTAGTTGTGCATGCTATAATCAAATAAAGTGAGTGACATTTTTAAGGTAAGTCAGTACTAAATTAAAGTAGCCTCAAATAAATATTAAATTTTTCTTACCTCCAAGCTCTGGCAGGATGGTAATATATGTTCCATAAAGAAGTGGCAGTGCATCATGACTAATATGTAAATGAGGTAGATGTGGTATAAAATCATTGCCCACAAGAAATCCCATCAAAATCCAATCATCTATTATCCTTTCAATATCATATTTAAATGTGATCTTTTCCTATTGTAAAATGGAGAACAAAAGGTAAATCCTTTGGACTTCTGCATATAAATCCTTGGTCCATGTTTATATTAATACTTACTTTTAATACTGAAAACTCATAGTCAATATACTCTCTCATTAAAGACAAATGTAGGAGGTGAAATGTGGTTTCTTCTGGTGCACATACCCTGTAATTAGTCAGACGATCAAGAAAGAGTGAATCGTATTTTTAAGGTCCAAGTTTAAAATATAGCAAAGCTCACACCAAAAATATCATTAGAAGACCATTAAATCTTATAATTAAGAAATGTAATTTATATGAAAGTTGTAGAGTAACAAAGATAAAAACAGAATTGCGATTACAATAGACAAAACATGATAAAGCTCAAAATAATTGATTTACATTAAGCATTCTGTGGAAGGACTTTCAAAATTAAGAAACTCTAAATACACAATAGATGTAAGAAGCCAGGAAGATCTGACCCATTTAAGGCTGGCCATCAACAGAAAGCACACAGATGAGTAACTACAATTGTTCCTAGGTATCTGTAGGGAATTGGTTCCAGGACTGCCCTGCTCAAGTCCCTGATATAAAATGGCATAGTATTCACATATAAACTATGCACATTCTCCCGTATGTTTTAAATAATCTCTAGATTAATTATACTACCTAATGCAATGTAAATACTGTGTAAATAGATGTTATACTGTATTATTTAGGGAAAAAAAGTCTGTATGTGTTCAGTACAGACACAATTTTTTTCCAAATACTTTCAATCCACTGTTGGCTGATTTCATGAATGTGGAACCCATGGTTACAGAGGGCCAACTGTATATACTTTTATATCTAATGCAGTATAGTCCAGGGCTACAATGGTGAGGCAGTATCACTTCTTCCTCTTATCTTTCCTTGGATTGGCATAAGGTTCTATATTCCTGGCTGTTGGCCTATACTCCAAGTTTAACTACAAGAAAGAATATGAGGGGATAATAACATATTAAAGGGATTATACAAGCTACATGCCAGCAGGATTTATCCCAGGAATACAAGAGTAATTCAACATAAGAAAATCAATACATCACGTTAATAGAATGAGGGGGGAAGAAAACCTACATGATTATTTTGCAGAAAAAGCATTTGACAATATTCAACACTTTTTCATGATAAAAATATTCAGCAAACTAGTAATAGAAGGGAACTTCCTTTGTATGAAAAAGAGCATTTACGAAAACCCACAGCTAACATAATACTCAGCAGTGAAAGACTGAAAGCTTTCTTCCTAAGATTAGGAACAAGACAAGGGTGTCCATTTCACCACAGCTATTCAACACTGTTCTGTAAGTCCCAGCCAGAGCAATTAGGCAAGAAAAAGAAGTAAAAGGCATCCAAATTGGAAAGGAAAAAGTAAAAATATCTCTATTTAACATGGCATAATTCTTTTTTTTTTTTTTTTAAAAGATGACCGGTAAGGGGATCTCAACCCTTGACTTGGTGTTGTCAGCACCACACTCAACCAGTGAGCTAACTGGCCATCCCTATATGGGATCCGAACCCGTGGCCTTGGTGTTATCAGCACCGCACTCTACCGAGTGAGCCACAGGCTGGCCCCAACATGGCATAATTCTATATACAGAAAAATTCTATAGAATCCACAAAAAAACTGCTAGAGCTAAAAAACTAATTCAGCATAGCTGCAGAGTACAAGATCAACACACAGAAATCAGTTGTTTCCATATACCATCAAAGAACAATCCCAAAAGGAAATTAAGAAAACTATCCCATTTACAATAGCATCCAAAAGAATAAAATATTTAGAAATAAACTTAACCAAGGAGCAAAAAGACTTGTACACTGAAAACCACAAAATGTTGCTGAAAGAAACTAAAGAGGTAAAAAATGAATGGAAAGACATCCTATGTTCATGGATTAGAAGACTTAATATCAAAACGTAAATACTATCCAAGGGATCTGCAGATTCCATGACATCCTTAATGATGCTTTCAGCAAAAGTAGAAAAATTCACCCTAAAAATCATACGGAATTTCAGGGGACCCCAAATAACCAAAATAATCTTGAAAAAGAAGAAAAAATTAGAGGTCTTACCCTTCTTGATTTCAAAACTTACTGCAAAGCTACAGAAATCATAACATTGTGGTACTGGCATAAAGGTTTACATACAGACCAAAGGAACAGAATAGAGAGCCCATAAATAAAATCTTGAATATATGGTCAAATGATTTTAGATCAGGTGTCAAGACATTCAATGGGGAAAGACAGTCTTTTCAACAAATGGTTCTGGGAAAATTGGATATCTACATGCAAGAGAATGAAGTTGGACCCTTATGCTACACCATATACAAAAATTAACTCAATATGGATCAAAGACCTAAATGTAAAAGTTAAAACTATAAAACTCTTGAATCAAACACAGAAGAAAAACTTTATGACACTGGATTTGGCAATGATTTCCTGGATATTACACTAAAAGAAAGGCAACAACAACAAAAAATAGATAAACTGGACTACATCAAAATTGAAAATGCTCACTTGGTTAAAGTGCGGTGTTACAACACGAAGGTCAAACATTTGGATTTTCCCTACTGGCCAGTAGACAAAACAGTAAAAAATAAAAAAAAAAACCTTTTGTGCATCAAAGGATACTATCAACAGAGTGAAAAGGTAACCCATGGAATGGGAGAAAATGTTTGCAGATCATATATCTGTTAAGGGATTATGACCCAGGCTTAATTTCTGTTTTTTCTTACATATGCTAGATGATTTACCTTTGTGTTTTTTTGCCACCAAATCGAACTTCTTCTCTTAAGAGAGAAAAATGTGCCTCATGACTTGTTAATCCAAGCATAATCTGTTGAAAAATGATTAAGAAATGTTTCTATTCTCCCATTTTTTATAGTATTGGGTACATAAAAGCAATTAAATGAAAAACATTTCTATATAGAGAAGAACAATAAAGAAACAATTGTCACATTAAATATACAAATATCAAAATATGAATGGGAAAAAGTGAGTATACTTAAACTCATATGACCTTTATAATTGCCCCCCATCATCTCTCCCATGCCTATCCCTACAAATCCCAAAAACCTTCCCTTAGTTTTCATATGTTTCTACTTGTCATTGGGGGAAAGGGTTAGAAATTAGAGGCAGCAGCTTTTCCATGGGCTCTTTTGGAGGCCAGGATATGAAAATTCAGAAAAAAATGGAAAAGGGCATTTTCAGTTAATTTTCTCATGGAGTATTCTAATCCCCAAAGTAAGTCAAAAGTATAGTTAAACATATCAACTAATTGCAATGTATATTGTTTATTTTACTTCAATCCTGGTTCAAACAACAAAACAAAATAAAACATTTATGAGGCAATCAGGGTAATAAAAATGCCAACTGATTATCTATTAAGGAATGACTGTTAATTTTTGTTTTATGTCAGACAATGGCATTGTGGTTATATACTTAAAAAAAATAAATAAAACTTCTCCTTTAGAGAAATGTTATGAAATAAGTACAGATTAAATGATATGTCTGGGATTTGCTTCAATAATCCAGGGGGAGTAGGAGAGGGAGAGGAGATAGATGGTTAGGGACAGGAGTTAAAAATTATTTACGGCAGATAAAGGCACAAACAGACTCACTATACTATCTTACCTAGTTTTGTTTATGCTTGAAAATTTCCATAATAAAAAGTTTAAGCAAAAAAAGTCTAATAAAGGTATCTGGGACATGAAGTTGTCAGATCAGGAGGTACTAAAAGTCATGTTCTAAGCCTGAGGGTAAAAAGAGCTCCCTTCCTTGACCTCAGCAGAGTATTCATAGCACTAGGGTTAGTCACCTCTGTAGACTAACTGTTGATCATAAACTATGGCCCAAAAAACCCCCTCATTTTCCAATTGTTTTAGAACTTTGGTAATGGCAGAAGTAGCAATCATTATTATGTCTTCAATATTTGTTGCCAGAGCCAGTAAATTTCCTGTACAAAACAAAGTCTGTTAGATATTTATCTACAATGGCACAAAGCTATAGTAACAAGAAACATTATACCTACCAAATCAGCATCTAAACCATAAAGACAGTGTCTGGTGTTTGGATCATGATCTGGCTTTGCTTTCTCGGATCTGATAAATTCCATGATTTTATGCTCTCCTTCCCCGGGAGTCTAAATATAATGTTTTAAAAAAAATGTGGTAATATGCCATGCTTCAGAATATTAAATAAAAATTTTTTAATTCTTTAAATAAAAAAAGACAATAACCTCATGGCCTGAGAAGTAGATAGTAACTCCTTGCCACGACTTGTCTGTAGAAATTTTCATATTTACAAAATACTTCAGATGTTCATGTAACCTGGCCATAAATTCAGTCCCTGTAAATAAAATATTTCAAAAAGATTAAGCTGAGAGAGACATTAAAACAGTGAGTTCCCAGAGACAACATGTAATCGAATCTGGGTGTACAGGGAACAGCTAGGAATAGAATCTCCAAAGAAAGTCAAAAAGCTCTCTTTCTTATATTGAAAAGCAAGTAATTACCTTTCCCTAGCAAATATCACAACTATTTCAAATGTCACTAGTCACCCTAAGTGAAGTCAATGTAACATAGGGAAACTCAAGGAATTTTACTACTGTCTCAAGACTGTGTTTCACGTATTTTCATATAAGGGCAGAGTTTGAACACTCTAATGAGCCTCAATCTTCTATTTCTTTTACTGTATTCTGTCTTCTATTTCTTTTACTGTATTCTGAAATCTTTTTAAAGGCATGCAGCCTCAATCAGATTGCCATAACAATAACAACAACTATTATTCCTACCATTAATTTGAAAAATTATTATTAATCTGGAAACTGAGTATACAATGTTTTAAGAAATGCCCAGATGGTCAACAGTGAGGGCAGTACAGTCTTAAACTACAATCAGAATAAAACTTGTTATTAAACTGAGCTATGTGTGACTAAGGCACTTAACGAAAGAGAAAATTAACACTGTTAGTAAAGAATTCATGAGAAAGTCCAACAGTGAGGGCAGTACAGTCTTAAACTACAATCAGAATAAAACTTGTTATTAAACTGAGCAATGTGTGACTAAGGCACTTAACGAAAGAGAAAATTAACACTGTTAGTAAAGAATTCATGAGAAAGTCGGATTTTAAGATTTTTGTTTAATGTAAAGGATTATAATAATGTTAGACAAAACTCCTAAGAGTAGAGAGTGTGCTGTTGCATATGATATTAAACATGGTACTGAAAATTCGTTTTCCTTAAAATCACAGAAATTTTAACAGCCCTTGAGAGGTAGAGTAGAGTAGAGCTCTGGACTAGGAGAATGGGTTTCTTACTGTAAACACCACAAGCTAGCTACATGAACTTGGTAAGCCACAACTTCACTGAGTCTATTTTCATACCAATAAATGGCAGGAATAGGACTGAAAGATCTTATAAGTTCCTTCTAGGTCTAGAATTCTGTGTATCTGGGAGAGTCCTGTCCATATCTGCACTAATCAACATCTGAAAATCCCTATAGTGGGTCTTTATAGGAGCACTTATAACCAATGTGACACAAGTGGGAAAATATAGCAAACGAAATCCTGAAATCAAAATAAATAGAGCCTAGAAAACCAAAACACATTTGAAAAAATAAGTTTTCAAATTACATTTTAATTCTCTTGGAATTTTTTGCTCAATGAATTTACCTGGTGTAATACAGTTGGAATCAAACCTGGCCTCTGTAGGAAGAGTTTCTCCCTTTTCTATTGCCTTTTTTGTTTTGTCCTCTGCCTCCTTTGCTGACCTTAATGATTAAAGGGAAAAAAATATCTTAAACTTTCTGGAAAAAAGTAAATATCTTTACATAAACTGTTATTTAGATGCTTTTATAACTAAAATACTAATTCATCAACTTTAAGTTTCAAAACATACACAAGTTTTGAAATGATTATAATTGATAAAGATTACCCTCAGAATTAATAAACTGTTATTTAGATGCTTTTATAACTAAAATACTAATTCATCAACTTTAAGTTTCAAACATACACAAGTTTTGAAATGATTATAATTGATAAAGATTACCCTCAGAATTATTTGTTTTTATTTATTTACAGAATTGAGTTTTCCAGATAAGGACTACAGAAGTAGGACATTATAACAGTAAAAAATTCACACAGTACATCACAAACATTTATAAAGTATTTCTTATGACAAATACACAGCAAATTCATTCTAGAAACAAACTCAGAAGTATAACTTTAAACATTCATTATATAAACCACATTTAATGATACTATCATTTAGTACTTTTAAATAAAAATAATTTAATGACCTTAAATAACATTTAAGATCATTAAAATGATCTCTAATAATATTATATGAACATGCAATTATAAAATTGTAATATATATCTTTGTTTCCTCCTAAAAACATTTAAAATGAAAGCCTAGTAACATTAATGAAATCAGTTGCCAAAATCATCTAATTTTTGAGGCAACAGAATTTACTAGAAAGAACATGACTTTTAGAATCAGACATTCCTGGCTTTAAATAAAGGTGTCCCAATTTCTATTTGGCTTCTCCTGTAACCCCTTTGTAATGCACCAGTGTGCGACATGGCATACAAGTTAGGAAGCTTTGCTTTGAGTACAGTTTCTACAGTCTTGCTACTAGTTCTATATACTATGATCTATAGAATTCTTTTAAAAATTTTATTTATTGATTGATTTGTTTTTTTAAACTGAAAATTTGGATCGGATAGAATTCTCTCTAATACACTCTTCTTTACATTTATCCTCTCACTAACCAACCTCTTCACTATAAAAAAAATTCTGAAGATACCAACTCATTTGTAATCTCTGCGATGTATTCTTTCCTCTTTTCTCGCCTTCTTCTTTGACTGACCAAATGATTATTTGATATTATTATGTGACAAAGTCTTGGGATATAACAAAAGAGAAATGATACCTGCTCTCAGAGCTTACACTCTAGTGGGGAAATAGAAAATTAGACAGCCATAAGGTTTCATGTGGCTTCGATACAGAAAATGTTTGGGAAAAGGGCAAGGTTAAGACTAGTGAAGTAATCTCAGTGAAAATAATGGTAGCCTAGGCTGAAACAGTAGCATTAAGGATGAAAAGAAGTAGATAGATGTGACAAATTTAAGAGACTGGATAAATAGGACTTGGATGTGGGGAATGAGGAAGAGAAAGGAGTCCAAATTACTCTTGGACTCTTCAATTAGGCAGCTAGGTGCATGATGTTGTCATTTACTGAAATAGAAAACATAAAAGAAAGGCCGTTTTGAGGGGAAGATGAATTTGGTTCTGAACATATTAAGCCTGAAGTGTATATAGGGTATCCAAAAGGAGATATTCAGCAGGCATTTGTATATATGAGAGTTCAGGAGAGAGACATCGACCAGAAAGATAAATTTGGGAGTCATCAGCACAGTTACAGCAATCAAAGCTCTTGGGTGAGATCACTCAGGGGCTGGGATAGAACATTAAGAAACAATATTTAAGGAAAAAACAGAGGTAGAGAAGATGATAAGGAGACTAAGAAGGTGCTGTCAGAGAGTGAGGTCACATGAAAGTCAATAAAAAGGAGTTCAATAAAGAAAGAATGGTCAACATTGCTAAATGCTGTGGATAAATGAAGGTAAAAAAATTATTTTTTGGATGTACCAATAATCTTGTGATCATTCTCCTTCTAGTTTTCCTCCTGATACTGGAGAGGTTGGAAACTAAAAAGATAAAACTCTCAGGCTTTCCTACAGTTAGGTTGCTAGATATGACTTAGATTTTGACAATTAGATGCCTTCACAAAAAGTCTGGAAGGTTGAAGTGTGCTGATGCCTGCATGACAGTGGAGGCACTGGGACTGTGGGATGCGTGTGTATTTCAGCAATGGAGATTCCAGTATTCAGTAGCTTTGCAGGTGCTGAGAAGCAAGAAGAAGGGCATTCATTTTGTTCCAGTACAGATCTAGCAGGTGCACTGGGGCTCTGGAGCTAACAGATGCAGTGGTGGCTTCCTGATTGTTGAACTGTAACTAAAGAGATGTATTCTTGGAGTCAACAATTCAGGTGGTAGCTTCTTAATCTCTAGATCACAGCTAAGGGAATAAGTTCCTGGAGCCACCTGTTCTGGTGGTGGCTTCCGAACTTCTCAGTTACTTGAACGTGCTAACAGTAGTGCCACTGTTGGGCCAGTTCTGTACTGTTGTTCTGGAAGTCATTCCTGAAGGCTACCTAAATTCCCACCCTTTTGGCTTTACAATGATTTTTATAAGCACCTAATTCCCTGTATTATATCCCTTTCTGCTTAAAATAGCTAGCTTGCTTTCTATTCCCTACAAGTGAATCTGGACTGAAGCAGTGGACTTATATAATTCTTCCTTAACACTAGATTGTCTATGCCAGTGGCTCCCAAAAACTAGTATAATGAATACCAGGGTAGTCTGGTAAAAATAGCTTCCAGGAGTTTCCCAGCTCCTAGAAGATTCAGAATAATCTCCTAGAGATTCAGATTAATAAAGTCTTCGGTGGTACTTGAGAATCTAAATTTTAGTAAGAGATGGTCCTTGCCTTCAAGGATTGCACAATCTTTCCAATATTTTCAGTATCTTTTTTCTTTTGATATTTATGTATTTATTTTTATTGAATCTTTTGATATTTAAATCAGTACTTCTTGCCATCCTCTTCCTATTCTCATGGATAGCCTTCTCCCAGGCACTCTTCCACCTTCCTTGATGACTTCCACATTTGATGCATAGGTGCTCTTTTCACTCCTTTACCTACCATTATGATTAAGGAATTCATTATGCTAATACCCCATCCAATACTCTGGACTCAGGGTTTCTTGCCTTCAATTGTAACAATCTTTTTTTTTTTTGAAAGATGACCGGTAAGGGGATCTCAACCCTTGGCTTGGTGTTGTCAGCACCATGCTCAGCCAGTGAGCAAACCGGCCATCCCTATATGGGATCCGAACCCACGGCCTTGGTGTTATCAGCACCGCACTCTACCGAGTGAGCCACAGGCCGGCCCTGTAACAATCTTTTTAACTTTACTCTTGCTACTCATAATCAGGGACACAGCCTGAGCTCACTGTTACTTAGAAATATTCCACATGTCTAGGATTGACTTGAAAACTCTCTGTATGTGTATAATCCCTTCTCATCCTTTTACTTCTCCTACTCCCTAATTCACACAGTGGTGCTGATAATACCCTGAGTGTCCTAAATCAGCTCTCTTCCCACAGTCCATCAATCACCTTCTGATCTCACTTGCCTTTCTGCCCCATCTGGACCCATGCTCAGTCAAAAATCAGCATCTAGCCCAGGATCTGGGCATTCAATAAATATTTGCTGAATTAAATTAAATGTCAATAATGTTCTCTTTAGAATAATCTCTCAGTTCATTCTGCAGTTACCATCCCAAGGCAGATCACCATAGGAGTTTTTCTCTACTTTATCAACGAGAAGTTTGAAAAACTTGTGATAGAAAACAAGAGTGACTTTATATGAAACCCAACATATGCTTTGAGAAATGACTAGTAAAATATAACATTATAAGTTTGAGATATTTCCTTTTCTGGGGGAATTTAAACAGAAAATAAACATGAACAGAAGACACATTGTACTAGGTCATTGCGCTAGGTTTATCTTTAAAATAAAATATTATTAGTCTAAATAATACCTAAAATACATCATAAATGTTTTACCTAAAACGCCTCCCACGCTGCTGGTTCATTTTTGCTCGAGGAGCCACACCATCAACAGCCATAAAGAACACTTTCCTAGGTTTAATAATGCGAAACAACACCTCCAAGTAGTGAAAAATATCAGTAAAGATTTTATCATCTGAAATTCTGAAGTGAACATCATCATCATTAGGATGGGAGCATTGATGTATAATTCCATTCATATCCAGGTACAAGTTGTCAAATTCAGGAATCTAAAAGACAAAAAAAAAAAAAAAGAAGTGCTCAAGATCACTAATTACTATCAACCATAGATATCTTAGCAACTGGGAAAAGTGATTATTCAATGATAAAAAGCAGAATGTAGGGCATGAGTAAACAATCACAGTTGAATAAAGTAAGGAAAAAAAAGAGGAGGAATTGGTAATATGGAGATATATTGTGTGGTTATATAATCCATCAATGGCTTGACCAAATTTACTGTCAGGAAGTTATCTACTTATTGAAAATAAGACACCCCAAGAAAACACTAAATAAAATGCTTGGTTCATCTGATACTCAAAATATTAATTTCCTTCCTTTTTATTATTTGACATTAAATTCTCAAAGCTTCACGTAATGCCCATTTGTATCAAAAGGCTGTACATCGTTATTGAAAGGTTTTACAGATGATTTAAAAGACTTACTGTATATTTGGTTTCACTGAAACAGTTACTGATATGATTACATTAATTTTAAAAAGCTTAGATTATGCCAAGAAACTTAGAAAACCTTGAAAACTGATTTCTTGTTTGTGATATGTAGACTAAATAATTTCTAAACTTATTTTGAGAATAGAGTCTGCCTTACATACTAATTAAGGAAAATTAGTTTGAATTTTCAAACCAAAAATATAATGGGTTTTCCTCATATAAATGTAATAAAAACCACTTCTGAAACAGTAATTCAAGTTTTACAATATGTACAGGTAACAACACATTTTCCTAATACCAAGAAAATGGCATGCCTTTGAGTTTTAGAGGCAAGAAGTTTGGCTTTCAAATTAATGAACGTCATAAAAGCATATTTATGAAACACCCATTTATACAGTATTGTACTAATAAGCATTACATTAAAATTTTTAAATGTTCTTATTGAGCAATACATAGGCTCAACTGAAATGATCACTGTGATAATGAGATTTTTAAAGCACACTCAAGATTTATCACTTGTTTCAAGAAATCTGCAAACCTCAATCAAAATCTAAATGTAATATTTTGAGGGGGGGTACATTACAAAATGATTCCAAACCTTCCTTACGAGAATAAATATGTAATAATAGTTAGGGAGAGTACTAAAAGAAGAGTAATAAAGCTTGTCGGCTTCCGATCAAGATGGTGGAAGAGATGGTCTCCAGTGTCACTCTTTCCCACAAACCAACCAATTTACAACTATGAAAAAGCAAGACAGCCAAGCTGGGGCCATTAGAGCTCAGGGGAAGAGGAGGAGAGATCTATGGAGTGCAAGAAGGAAGGAGAAGCCATGATGAGAAAAAGAAAGGATCGCTCCTACCATTTCGAGCCCTAGCCACTTCCAGGCTGGAGCTGGTGAGCACATGGAGCAGGAGCTGGCAAAAGCCGCAGCTGTGCCCTTCCTATGAAATTGCTTGTAGGTGGCAGGGGAGAAGAGGGTCTTGGTGACCCTCAGACCAGCAAGACCACTAACAGGGTTCCTGTGGACCCACATAGGAGCAAGGAGCCACAACTACTGAAAAAAGGAGCCACTCAGGAGCCAGCGAGTCACTACAAGGGATTGGCGCACAGCTCGCCCATGGGAAGTATTTGGAGTTCAGGTAGTGGGGGAGACAGGCCCACCAGCAGAGAATTGGGGCAGAGCATGGACAGCTGATCTGCCCTCCAATCAGCACAGGTCCACTCTTTGTAGATTGGTCAAGAATACAGATCTGGGGCCGGCCCGGTGGCGCACTGGATAAGTGCGCCGCGTGGGAAGCGCGGCGGCGCTCCCGCCCGAGGGTTCGGATCCCACATACAGACCGGTTCCCGCTCACTGGCTGAGCGAGGCGCGGGGGCAACACCGAGGGTTGCAATCCCGTTGCCGGTCCCCGGTCCGGTACGGGGGCAACACTGAGGGTTGCGATCCGTTGCCGGACACGGAAAAAGACAAAAGACAAAAAAAAAAAGAATACAGATCTGCAGGGGGAGCAGACTACTGAAAAGACTCAGGTCCAGACCAGAGTTTCTACACAACCCCGGTGTACCAGATCTCATAAGACCCAGAAGTACCTACAGAGACAACCATTAAAACCTGAGCTGCAGAAAAAGCCTTCCCCAGGGAATCAACTGCAAAGCAACAATTTAGCTCAACCACAGAGCTCAAGTGCTGGTCCCCACAGGAAGTTCCCCCACTTTAGAAGTAAGCAAAGGACAACAAATTAGTTCCAGTGCAGAGTTTAAGTGGTGGAAATAGCAAATAATCCAACACAGAACTGAAAGAAAAAACAAAATACCCACAGACCAGAGACAAAGTTTACTATTAACTAGTAAAAGTCTTATATCACCAAAGAACACCTATAAAACCTAGAAGGAACAGAAGCCCCCTGGGCTCCCAAGCCAGAGAGTGGGGAGGGCTGGGGACATCAGCCGTGCCCCCCAATACCCACACCCAGACCAGTGATGACCACTGAGCCACTGAACGAAGCGCCCCAGACTCCAGAGCCAGGGCAGTGGGGGGACGAGGGACTTGTCCATGCCCCGCAACACTGGCAACCAGCCCCAGTGACACCCACCAAGTTGCTGCAGGCAACACCCTGGTCTTTTGAGCCAGGTCAGTGGGGAGCTAAGGGCTCTAGCCACACCCCCCAACATCTGCAACCAGCCCAATGATGACCATTGAACCACCACTGGAAGCCCCCTGGTCTCCTAAGCCTGGGCAGTGGAGGGCCAGAGGGCTTCAGCCACACCACTCTGACATGTGCATTCAGCCCAGCAACAACCAAGACACGACTGGAAGCCCCCTGGTCTCCCCTTCAGGAATGAGGGGGATTCCACCTGCCTCGACCACTCCTCCCCACCTTCCTCCTTCTCCCACCCTATCTCCTTTCCCCTTTCCCTCACCCCCTCTCACCCAATTGCTCCACATCATCATCTTAGGATGTAAAAATGCATGGAGACAGGAACCAGCCCCTCCTCCCGCAACCAGGCATGCTGCCGCTGCCATGGGGCCCACCTAGGGTCCTGAGGCCTAGAGAAGGGGACTGGCTCCTCCTCCCACAACCAGGCAAGAAGCATGCCAAAAACACAACTTCCATGTGGGTGGCCCACCACAACCACCACAATAACCATGGCTAGACACCACAACCACTGTGCAGATGGTCCGCCAGCCACTCGAGTACACTGACACAAGGAGAGTCACCAGTGGAGACCAAAGAAAAGAAGAGGATGTTTCTCTCCAAAAAGCCCATTCCAGAGTGATAGAAAAAGCATCTGCTCTATGATAATATTGGGGGACCTGAACACACCTCTCTCAGCATTGGACGGATCATCTAGGCAACAAATTAACGAAGTAACCATTACTCTTTCAGAAGGAGAGAGGAAATCTAGGGTTATCAGAGGAGGGAAGGGGGAGGGAGGAGGATGGGGAGAGATTGGACAAGGGGCATAAAGAATAAGTACGATTTCTAAAAATGTATATGCTAATAATATTGATTTGATCAACATATGTCAACATCAAACCCCCAAAATATGTATAATCATGATTCAATAAAAAAGAAGAGTAATGAAGTAAAATTTGCCCTAGCGATGAATTAAATGTTATAAAACAGATAGTTTGATTGAACCAGTTTAGAACAGTACAAGCACATACAGAAATTTAGCAAATAAAAAGCATTTCAACTCAGTGAAAGAAAGGCATGGGGTTCCTTACCTAACCATCTGGAAACAAAAAAAACTGCATCTCACCTTATAACACAATAAATCCAGAAGAACTAAACATTTTGCTATGAGAAATGTAACTAAAAAAATTTATATACAAATATTTTGGTAATGAAAGTGGAGTGGGGAAAGGAATATGGGAAGGGATGCTGGGGATAATTGAGGGGATAATTGGGTGGGAGACACGGGGTATAATCACAATTTGTGGTAATGGACATGCTGCCAGTATGGTTCTGGCCACCACATCTTAGGCACGAGTGGTGACAATTTGCTTTGTATCCCATGAATATTCATAACCAATAAAAACAAAACAACAACAACAAAATTTTGATAATGTATTTTAAATCTATAGGGTTAGAAAAAAAAGTATCATAAATAAATTCAATTGAAAATGACAAAATGGAGGGAATGTTTGCAAATAAGGACAGAGTCAACTTTCCCAAAATACAAAAAATTCTGAAATATAAGAAAAAGAGCAAACTTTTAAAGTAATAATAGAAAATGCAAAGCAATTCAAAGAAGAAACAAAACTCTAATAAGCATATGGAAAGATGTCCACCATCCAAAAATTTCAAATTAAAATGACAACTCATTTTCTCCCTGTTACCAACATTACACTGACTGATGTTACCCAGAATTGGCAAGGTTTGGGGAATATAAATCATGTGTTATTAAAAGCAATAGCTGGCATTTATTATGTACTTATTAGATGCCAAATTTGGACTAAATATTTATATTCATCCTCTCAATTATAACAACCTCAAAAGATAAATATTTAGCATCCCCATTTTACAGAAGAGGAAAGTAACGGAGCCATAAAAGAGAAATGGGATTTATATCCAGTAGTCTAGGATGGCAATATAATCTAATAACTAAACTGAAAGTTACGTGTCAAAATTTGAAACATGCATATCTTTGACCCAGAACTTCTACTGTTGGAAATTTATTCTGAGAAATAATCAGAAACATGAATAAAGATGTTAAGTACAAAAATATTCATAGCAGTATTGTTCATGAAACATAAAAAGTGTAAACAATCCAAATGCCTAATAGAAAGCTGATGATGGTACATCCATACAATGGAATACTACACAGCAATTACAAATTATAATATAGATTCATATTTGACATGGAATTAATATACATAATATATATGGTTAAGTGACAAAGGTAGAGCATAATACAGCAGATATATTATCCTATTTATAGAAAATATTTATTTACATGTGTATCTACATAGAAAAGTTAGGAAGTATACAGAAACAAGACGCTACTAGTGGTTAATCCTGGATGATGGAATTTCAGTTGCTTTTTCCCTTTTTAAT